ATGCTAAAAATACCAAATATAGTTTACAGGTACATGTTAAGTAACAACTGACCATATAATATTGACTGGAAGGATACCTACCAAATTCATGATAACGGGCAGGAGACGGGCCCTGGGGAAGGGAACACAACAGGGTAGGTGACTCACACACACACACACACACATCTTATAAGATTTTTAACTGTTCTCGACTTTGGTGAATACATGTTTATTTATACATAGTTCTTTGAAATTTTTTTTAAACACAAATTTACAGGGCACCACACAATGTCTCTGTGTGCATGCACTGTGTCATGTTCAGCTCACGGCAGGCACGTCTATCTCCTCAAACACTTGTCATTTCTTTGTGGCAAAAGCATCCAAAATCCTTTATTCTTGCTTTTTTCAAAAAGTCTAAAATACATTCCTGCTCTACATAGTTACCCCACTGTGCAATAGCGATTCTTTGTGCTTTTTACATTTAAATGCTTTTTACGTAACATTTTTTTCCCATTTTGCTACAATTGACTTATCAAATAGTTCTATGGTTCTTACTCTGCATCAGACCTGGCAGTATTAATATTAATAAGTCAAGTCTCATAACAATTCTGTGAAGTATTAGAGGTAAGGAACCGATGCTCAGAGAGGTTTAGCCACTGGCCCAAGGTAAAACAGCTTGTAAGTCAGAGCAAGGTGGCCTGACACATATTCCACACTCTCAAGAATCTGCCATGTGGTATTCTTACACGTAGTCCCTCACAGGGTCCCCTGGGTGTGCGGGCATGCTCCCTGCCTGTCCTCCTTTGTTATAAGCTCTGCAGGGGCTGGGTTCCGATCTCCCTCATCTGTTCCCGACGACCCCATCTGGTCTGGCTCCTGGTGTAAATAGAAAACGGTGTTGGGCAAACGAAGGAATTCCTGAGTGACCTCAGGTTTCTGGAAGCTGGTCCACCAATGTCAAATTCAGGGTCATTGCCCCTGAGTCCTCCCTGCATCCAAGTTGTTGAGGGAGTTGGCAGCAGGTGAACGGGAAATGGGTACGATTAGTAGCAACGTTAACAAAATAACCATATAACCAAATAATGTGGGGTCTCTGTTTGCCAAGGGCCCCCTTTCCCCCCCCTATACATGGGCAGTGATCAAAGAAACTGTGAGGTTTCAGGAAACATCTGGGTCTCCTCGCAGATCAACCTTCTTTCTCCAACTGATTTCCGCTCAAATTCTGGCTTTAATTTAATGTCACTTCTCCTGTTTTTAAGTTTTCTTTGTTGATAGCAGGGACTAAACCCAGGAGCGCTTAACCACAGAGCCACATCCCCAGCCTTTTTAAATATCTTATTTAGAGACTGGGCCTCGCTAAGTTGCGGAGGCTGGCTCTGAACTTGCGATCCTCCTGCCTCAGCCTCCTGAGCCGCTGAGGGCTCACCACAGTGCCCGGCTAATGACACTTCTTCCAAGGAGGGGTCTCTGGCCACCCATCCTTCTACCTGCTGCTGTTCGGCTCCACTTTACTGCAAAAGTACATTAAAATGGGAACAAACCCTGAAGAGTCCCTGAGCCGGTGGGACAGCTAGTCCTTGGGCCCACTCCATCCTTGACACACGGGAAACGTTTATTGTAAATGCTACACTGAAGAAAACAGAACCCATCGGAAACCACCTGCACACTTGGTAACCAGGGACCGTCCACCAGGAGACTCTGAAGAAGGCACCTATACAGTGGTGACCAGGCAGAAGTCCCCTGGGTGCTACTCCTGTGTCCACCCCGCGTTCCCAGGGAGCTCCTCGGCTTCTTCTCTTCCCGAGCGACCTGATTCTTGAATCTTTGTTTGCTCAAATAAACTCTTGAAAAAGTCATTGCTCCTCAGTCGACCCTTTTAAGGTTACCCTTTTTCCACTGTTGAACTTATCCCAGCTCTGAATTCCCCTGTGACTTGGTTTGTTTTAATGTCTGTCTGCCCCAGGAGTCGGAAGCTCTGAGAAGTGGAGGCTGGGGCTGGCGTGGCGCCTGATCATTCATTGATCTCTGTTGAATGAATCTTGCTGCTGAATCCAGTAGCTTAGCTTACCGGGGCTTAATTAATTAATTAGTTATTAATTTTCAGTTCTGAAGGTGGAGCCCAGGGTTTGCCCTACCACGGAGCTTCATCTCCAGCGTTTTAGATTTTAATTTTTTTTTAATTGACAGGATCTTGCTAAGTGGCCCAGGCTGGCCTTGAACTTGAGATCCTCCTGCCTCAGTCTCCCAAGTAGCTGGGATTCTGGGTGCACCCCTCTAAGCCTGGATTCTTTAAAAACAAAAAACAAAAAACAGCAGAATTCCTTTCATTAAATGAAATTGTTCCGACTCCCTCGTATAAATCGACAGATTCCTCGGGTTGCGGGGTGCAGAGGTGGGACCGGGGAGGGTCTGCTTGTCCAGCCTCCTCCTCATTGTGTCCTGCAGGGTCCCCAGGCACCTGGGAGAAGCCCCTTGGCTGGCTTTGCCGAGCTGTCACCTTGACTGTCCCAGAAGGGTCTTTTGCCCCAGGGAGCCCCTCTTGGTCAGTTGAAAGACAGACTGCGTGTCCCCTCCTCCCAGTTCCCGGTGGCAGCCTCCTGGGGCACTTTGCTAATTGAGCCATAAATCCCTCCTCTCAACAAGCCTCCTGACTTGCTTTGCTCTTCAGACGACCTCTTCCTGGGGAAAAGACTCTGCTTTCCCTGAGTTATGGCGGGACTCCGGTGGGTGGCGGCCTGGTGTCCTGCCTCAGCCATCTGACAGTCTGATTCCTTTCCAATTTACGGGCTCCTTAGTTCCCCCGCCAGCTCCCACTTTGGTGCCTCTGACCCAGTAGCCAGATCTGCCCGCGTCATCTGGCTCAGACCGACACGGGGTCCCCGCTGAGCGGGCAGCCATCCCAGCCCTGTCACCTCCTTGGCTGACCCCGCATGACCAGGTGGAAAGCCGGGCAGGGAGAACAAAGCCCCGGAGCCCCGGCAGCCAACATTCCCGTGGCCACCCAGGGTCTCGCTGTGGCCTGAGCGAGGCTGGGGACTCGGGGGTTTGCACGTGTCCACTGAGGCCACCTTGCCAGAAGGGCCGGGGGGATGTCCGTCTTTCAAAGCCCTGGGGTGGGCCTCTGCCTGCTGGGATTTGGGACTCTGAGTTCTCTCTCTAGAATTCGTGCCGCAGGTCAACTCTGCATCTGCCTGAAGAGGGGGCAGGAGGTGGGACTGGAGGGTGCTCCGTGGGCCTCTACTTCCCCACCTCTGCAGTGGGTACACTGACGTGCCCCGCAGGATCCTGGGAGGACCATAAGCACCTGCAGGTAGTGCAGCTGGACGCCCTGTGATTTGGGCAGGAGCGGCTGCGCTCCCTCTGGAGGCTCTAAAAGGAGAAGCCTCGCTGGCTCTTCCCCGGTGACGGTGACGGAAGCCAGCATTCGGGCTTCCCTTGGCTCTGGTCTAGTGCTGGCCTCGGTCTTCACACCCCCTCCCCCCTTCCTGCTTCTACCCCTGGGTCTCTCTGTGTCTCTAATGTAGGGCCACCCAGACCACCCAGGGGGTCATCTCAAGATCCCTAACGCAATTACATCTGCAAAGGATTCCTTTTCCACACGAGGTCACCGTCACAGCTGCCAGGGGTTTGGTGTGAAGGTCTCTCTGTCTCTCCCCCACCTCTCCCTCTCCCTCTCTGTTGACTGGTGGAAAGGCAAGGACATCTCAGAGCCTAAGCTGTGGGAATGAGGAGCTCGTGGCCCGGGGTGAGAGATCCTTATGTAGAAATCTCAGGGAGCAAATGTGTTTGGGTTTAGATGTTCCCAGGTTTGGGAAAGACGGTCCCGTGCATGGGATGTACATGACACCGCACCCTCCATGGCGGTCTGGAGGGCATGCCATACACAAACACGGGGATAAATCTGAAAGGACAGGTTTGAATATCCATAAGTACTTTGAATGAAGACATCATGAGACAAGTTTTGCAGCTCAACCAGTTTCACCACCAAATATGTGATAAATTTCTGGATTTCAGAGTTTTTGAACATCAGAATTACAGAGAGGAGAATAGCAACCTGTCGTATTGTTGATTTTTTTTTTTTGTATGTTTAGAAATTTCCATCATCTCTGTGACTTTGGTGGTGTCTGGCCCCTCGAGTTTCATGGTTGGAAGCTTGGTCTGCAGGGGGGCGGATTTGGGAGTGTGGTGGGCCCTTTAAGAGGTGGGGTCTAGTGGGAGGTTCCTGCCATGGAGGGTGCTGCCTTGGCAGGGGAGGGAGGTGGTTCTTGACAGAATGAGTTGTCATAAAAGCCTGAGTCAGACCCTTGAGACTTTCTCTGGCCTGGCTTCCTGTTTTAAGGTATAATGTCTCCCTCCTGGGCCATAATATGACATAAAATAAGGAAGGGCCTTGTCAGGGCTTGTGCTGAACTTTTAACTTCAAAACTATGAGCTAACTAAGCCTTTTTTTTTTTCCTTTATAAAGTTAACCTGTCTCTGGTGTTTTGTTATAACAACAAAAGCCAAGTAAAAAAAAATAAATAAAACATTTGAAAGATGAGACTGTGCATATAGCACACTTAGCATAGTGCCTGGTACTTAGTAAGAACTAAATTAAAAAGAAAAAAGGGTAACCATTGTGTTAGGTTTTCATCGCCATCAGGAAACACCTTAGGCTTATTTTATAAAGAAAGGGGTTTCTCTGGCTCACAGTTTTGGAGGCTCAAGGTCATGGTGCTGCACTTGCTCAGTTGCTGCTGGCAGAGTCTCAGGGCCTCACAGGTCTGTGTCTGCCTGGTCTCCCTCCTGCTTCTTATAGAGCACCAGGATTTCATCCTGGGGGCCCCACCCTAATGATCCCATCTAAACCTAATCACTTTCCAAAGCCCCCCCCACCCCTGAACCCCATAGTCAGATTGTGTTTCTTCCTCTTCACCCCATTAACATAGGACTTTGAAGACCGAACTCCTGCGTGAGTTTGGGGGAACGACCACATTTAGGCCACAGCCGCCATTGAAATCCGTTTTTGCCATCACACTTACCGGCAGGGTGGCAGGGTGGGCAGTCGGGGCAGCTGCAGGTTTTTTTGCAGAGGATTGACGTGGTCAGCAAAGGAGAGTCCACAGCAGGTGGCCCGGCAAATGAACTGCATGGGGCACGGGGTAAAGGGAGACCGGGTGGGGGGCTGTGGTCCTCTGGGCAAGAGAAGAGGAGGTCCCAAGTAGCGGACAGGAAGGAAGCTTGAAGGGACCAGATAAAGCTCGCTGAGTGTCCAGGGGAGTGGGACCGAGGCCTGTCTGCTTCCCTGACACGCTTCTGAGTGACAGCAGAGAGAAACTTCTAGAGTGCTCTGTACATTTAGGAGAAAGTACACACAAGTCAATTTAGGAACAAGTCAGGGGGAAATGTCAGGGCTGATTCAGGCTCCTAGTGTGGACAACGACTTTTGTAGGAGAAACCTTTCTGAGGGTGGGGGCTCATCAAGGCCACCTGGGCACAAAGCATAGGTCAGTGGGGCTCTTCGCAGATGCCACGGGTGTGGGGGGCGTCTCAGGGGCTAAGGCAGGGTTTCTGGCTACAGGGACCCGGCAAGCCACGGGCACCACCTAAAGGGGCGATGGGAGACAGAGGAGCAGGAGAGGACCGAGGAGGAGCAGGAGGGTTCACAGAGGAATCGCTGGGTCCCTCGGTAAACACACAGTCATCCCAGATGTGGGATTAAGACACAGAATGTGGCCAGGGAAGGGAAAAGGCCCAGCTGTCATTAGAGGATCGCTCCTAGCCGTCACCATAGCCCTTCCCCAAGACCCTCGAGCATCCTCAAGGCCTTCCTGGTGGCTCTGGGGTAGGCAGCGGTGTCTTCCCAGCCCATAGGAAGCTCTGGCAGCTTCCTATCAGTGACTTCCAAATGGTTCTGGATAAATAAGAAAGTCATTATTGCCGAGAACTCAAGAAACACAGATGACTAAACGCAGAGCAAGATCAAAGCCAAATTCAACAGTCACTTCTAAGACCAGCTCGAGGACCAGGGCTTATCTATTTCTTTCCCATTGTCTTTCCTGGGCTCCCGGTGTGTTTTTTTTTTTTTTTAAAAAAAAAAAAAAAAAAAAAAAAAGTCATACTAGATGTAATTACATCTATATTTTCATTCAATAATAAATTGGGAAATTTTTTTTAATGTTAAAATAATAATGACTGAATTGGGAAGGAAAAAGTTGATTTATCCTTGTTTGCAGATGTCGTAGTGCTGAGAGCCACGGCTGAGTCTGTATGGCCCCTGGCATTTTGCCAACAGTATTGATTGACAGGCGAGGCATTACTATCCGCCTCTGCCGCAACTTTTGAGTTCTCGCACTATTTTGGAGTTCTCGTGGGGATTTCCGGGGATTCCCCGAGAGTTCCCATTGGTTGGGGAAGTGCAGGAGGAGGTATTTCCGGGAGAGATTTTCCGGCTGGGGGTTCCTGGACAAGCCTCGTGGCGCGTTCGGGAGGATTCCCCGGGAGCTGTGTGAAGTGTTTTCCTGCAGTTTAAAAATAAAGTTTGTTCCTGCTTCAGTGGCTCGTGATTTGTGCCCAGCCAGACTGCGGCATTTGGTGGCCCGTACGGGGATCTCAACAATCTCAGCCCCACAAGAGAAGCAGGAGATGATGGCAGACACACAAGTTTTCAGCTCATTTACCTGAGGCTTGATTTGGGTATTTAAAACTCCAAGGTCATCCCCCGGAGCTGAACAGCTCAGCTACTTCCTGGCTGTGGGACTTGGGGCTGGCCATCTCCCTCCTCCTTCACCAGCAACCAGGGGCCCGAGGATGCTGCGCCTGTCTTCAGGTGGCTGTGAGAACTGAATGAGACGAGGCCTGCTGAGTGCTTGGCACAGAGGTCCTCATCCCCCAAGAAGAGGGAGGTTTTTAAAAACCAGCCATGACCAGGTTCTTCCTGACCAGTTACATCTGACATCTAATTTTTTAGATTTTTCAATTATGAAAAACTTGGTGCTGGGTGTGGTGGTGCATGCTCGTTATCCCAGTGTCTCAGGAGGGAGGCTCAGGCAGGAGGATTACAAGTTGGAGGCCAGCCTCATCAGTTTGGCAATTCCCTGTTTCAAAACAAAAAATTAAATGGGCTGGGGATGTGGCTTCGTGGTTTAAGCACCTTTGGGTTCAACCCACCAAAAACAAATAAACAAACTGAAAGGTCTACAAAAGTAGTACAACCTATGCCCCATGTTCTCCTCATCTAGATTCATTATTTGTCAATATTTTATCATTAGAGTGTATCACAGTTAAAGAGCCAGCCCAGTGCCGGGCACATAGGGCTGGTTGGACAGATCAGTTATTATCATGACTCTCTTGATTATGAATTTGGTTGATTTAGAAACTTGAAGGAAGCCTCTAAATGGCAAAGGTGGTTGTCAACACCACTGGAAATGTGTTGGCTCCGACTTAAATTTGACGGAAAGGGTTTCCTCCTCTGTGAATCGCCTTTGAAGTATTTTGCATCTCAAATGGAAAAAAATCAATTTGAACTAACTATAACTTTATTTTTGAACTACTACACGGCAGTGCAATCAGACAGTAAGATAGAAATAAATGGCATGGGAACATGAAGAGGAGATAGAATCCTCTAGTCATCGTGAGAAAAAAGTGCTTTAAATCTAGGGAAGCTCTGCTCTGGCAGCCCCTGCCCTTTCCTTGCCCAGGGTTGACGTGGCGGGTCAATGATTGCTCTCCTTCCCACCCAAGCTGAGAGCTGCATCCGAATCCTGCTGAAGACGATGCTCTGGGTGCCCCCAACCATCAATGCAGGTGGCACAGGAGGTGAAGCCTATTTATTATTCCTTTTTCTGTATCTTTTCCCCCCTTAGGGAAGCAACAGCACATACTTAGACACAAGAAAGGACTTTCTAAGAGAGCAAAATAATTGTCTTTAACTTCCTCAAAATCCACCCCTAAGTCATTCCCAGGGGAGGTCCCAGGGCCGTAAGCCACAGGTCATCTAGGGACATCGAGTCTTAGAATCCATCCAAATCAGCAGAAGGAAAACAGCAAATCCCCGGGTCTAGCTGCTCCATCTTGGCCGTTGGTTTGAAATAAGGGTTTTCCATGTTTCTGTGACAAAAGAAATGAGCTTTGCCTTATGCTTCCCGGGAGCTGAGCCTTCGACCCCAGTGGGGCGGGGGGGGGGGGGGGGGGGGGGTGGGAGGAAGGAAGGAAGAAGAAAGAAAGAAAGGAAAGAGATGTGGATGAAACTGGTCCAACTAGGCATGGAAATGAAGGTAATAACAACCATGAAAGTCACTTTCTACTTCCTGTCTGCAAAGTGACTTACGTGGGTTTGCTCATTTCCCCTGCACAAACAGCCCTCTGAGGTAGGTTCTGTTATTATTTGCCCTGAAGAAATGGAAAGCTTCAAGCTCAGGGAAGTCAGGGGACTTGTTAAGGCCACACGATCCGCAAGTCAGGAAGCTGTGGGATTTGGGAGGAGGCCTGTCTGATCCAGAGACTGGACTCTTCAAACTCTGCATTTGACACCAGCCGAGTTTTTTCTTTTAGCAAGAAAGAATGATGATTTGACATTTTAAGCATCTTTGCTTTGACTTCACTGAGGACAAGGACTTCAAGTTATTCGGCTTGATCTCTCCCACCACGTAACCCAGTGCTCAGGGTGGGATCGGCCCACGTTCAGTAGAGTTAGTATTTGGGGCAGGTTGAGGGTTTCATGTTCACTGTGGAACTCTGTTTGCTGAGTGCTCATGGGTCCTTCTAAGTCTTTGGTTGCTTTTCCTGGAGCTGGAATGGGAATTGTTATTGTTGGGGGGCACAGGCATTCAGGGTCCCAGGAGAAGATGTGTCTCTGGAGAAGGGTCCAGGAGAGAAGGGGGAGCTCAGCTCGGGGCACTGGGGTCCTTGACATACTTGATGGAGAAGAGTTGAGCACGCACCGTCAGAGGCACCGACGCAGAGGTGTTCAGTTAGGACAACAGGTTCCCATTCCAGGGAGGACACAGACCATCTCGAGAGATGTGTTTTGGGGGTTCTGGTTCTTCTTTTAAAGGAAGCTTGGTGAGGGGTAGGTATGGGAAGGACATAGGGACGGCGTCAGTCTGGTGATCTCGAGATGGACTTGGGAGGTCTGGTCTTTCTCAGGAACCTTAAGCTGATGTTGGTCATTATCTGACCAACAGAGAGCACTGGAAATTCTTCAATTTTCGGTCTCTTAAAATATCATCTGTCTCTCTGAATCTGTTTATCAGTGGGCTAATGAACAGTGCACAGGTAGATTTACAGATTTCCCAGGAAATTGGAAGTGGCAGGCGAGAGAGAGAGAGAGAGAGAGAGAGAGAGAGAGAGAGAGCGAGCGCCAGAGACAGACAGACAGACACAGAGTGGCTCAGGGAGTCACAGGCCGGGAAAAGTTGCAGAACCTCTGAATTAAATTAGTATTTTCTTGTTCTCTCTGTATGTCTCTTTCTACCTATTCTTACTTCTTCTATCCTGCCTCCTTCAGCATACCTGTGTGTGGACCGAATAGTAGCAAGAGAGCGGGGAACAGAAAGATCCTGCTGTTAGGCTTATGGTCCAAACAGGGAGATGGACTGATGGGGGTGACATAGACTTAGGGACAGGTGACACAGGGGCACCCACGAGGGGCTTCTCGCGCAGACCTGGGGGATCCGGAGGATGCTCTGGTGAAGGTGGTGTCCTAACATCGATGCCTGTAGTGCTTGCCCCCTGCCAGGCACTGACTGATCTTACCGTGCTCCACGGGTCCCTTCTAGGACCCTCACACTAATTCACAGAGTGGGCCTCTCTCCACCAACGGATGTGTGAGGACACGGGAGGCCAGATGGAGTGAGGTGACTCTCAATGTCAGGACGGCCAGTGGGAGTGCTGGCTTCAAACCAGGTTCTAGCTATGATTCAGCCCCTCTCCTGGTCTGGGGGGCTGACATTTCCCCCATGAGCTGTGAAAACTGAGTTGGAATTAGCTCGGAAGTTTGGAGAGGGGAGGCTGCTCGGGAAAGAGGGGGTGGCCCCTCTGAAGCCCGGATAGGAGGGTGGGTGTGGTTCCAGGAGTTGGGGGGTATCCAGAGCCTTCCAGGAGAGTGGTGGGCAGGGGTCAGAGCTGAA